TTGACTAAAAACTCAAAAGTCAACCTTAAAAGTCAAATTTAAAAAATCAAACTTAAAAAGTCAAACTTAAAAGTCAAACCGAAAAGCTAAATTTGAAAATTTGAAAGTTAAACGAGAAAGTCAAAGTTTAAAGTCAAAGGTCAAACTTGGAAGTCAAAGTCAAAATTTTAGGTCAAAAGTCAATTTAGAAAGTCAAAAATTAAAAACTAAAATTTTTGGAAGAAAATGGAATTTAAAAATAAAAGGAAATTGATTTTTGGGTTAAAAGTGTTAAAAATGCGAAATTAGGTTTGAAATGGAGTCCTTTTGAATTAAATTTGGGAGGAGAAAACCATCTAGCAAGCTAGATCAAAGGGAAAGGGCGCTTGTAACGCCCGTAGATCCGGGCTAGTCAATTTAGAGATAATAGGGGTCGAAAACGACTTTTTGACAAAAGATTATTTAGAATAAATAATCTTAACCAAGTTGTAGAATACGTCTCAAGGGTTCCGTACATATAAAGAACGTTGAAATCCGAGTTATAACGAAGAAGTTATGGTCCGCCGAAGTTTTACGGCAAAACCGGCACGACACCGGGAGACGTAAATAGTGAATTTACGATGGAGAAATTTTTAGCCTTAGAAATCTAAACAAAAGTTGTAGTATACGTTAAACCGAGAACATACAAAAAAAAAAGAACACCCAAATCTGACTTCGTATGAGTAAGTTATGAATTTTCTAAGATTTGGCTTAGCAGTGCACAGCCCGAAACTCGAATTTTAGATTGAGCGGTTTTTGGCCTACGCGACCTAAATGAGAATTGAAGATCTTATTAATAGGAACTCAACGGTAAAAAGACAGACGAAAACAGAGTCCGTATGTAGAAGTTATGAATTTTACGCGGACATTTAACAGTATAATCTCCTCGTACTGTTAAATTTAAGATCCGTCGAGAATTAGCCGACGAAGTCAAAATGAAAGTTGTAGATCTTATTTTTACCTACGCGTGGATATAAAGAACGTAAAAAACGGAGGTCGTATGTGAAAGTTACGGATTTTAGAAGTCGGAAGTGTGCTGTGCGAAAATGGGTGATGTGGCACAATCTTGGCCATTGCTTTCTCCCCAAGTCTTGCCACTAGATGGTGACATGTGGCACCAAGTTCAACCATTTTTCACCCTATAAATTAGAACCTCTCCCACCCTCATTTTCTTCACACCTTTCCCATTCTTTCTTCTCTTTACTCTCTCTCTAGAACCTCTCTCTAGCCCCGAAACCCCCCGAAAAGCCTAGGGAACCTCCCTAGCACGAGGCGGAAGCCCCGGAGTGCTCGACGGCTCCGAGAAGAAGAGCTTTTCGGCTCGGGAACGCTGCTCCAAGCAAAGTCCGGTTTTCTATAAAACCCGCTGTAAGTGAGCTACGCCTACGCTATTTTTAATATAGCTTTTATTTAATTATAGTAACGTTATTAGGAACTTATAATAAGTACTTGGGCTATTATTATGGGTTATATAAGTATTGTTAAACGCTTATATAATAGTAATAATAGCTAGACTATTAATTAGTCTCGGCGAATAATAGACTAAACTCTAGTGGTAATAATACTAGGTTTCGTCGAAGGAAATTATTTTTAAGAAGCGAAGCGCTGTCTGAGTTCGGAATCACCACCTTTTCAAGTGAGTGCATGGTCCCTTTCAGCTTACACATAGATATGAAGTATTTTATATAAATTACGTGCTGTGTGTGCATATTATCTGTATACTTGCTATCTATGCTGGATGAATGATTTTATACATGTTTTAAATGATTTAAACTGTATATGTATTTTATATCTACAAAATGTGTTGGGTAAAACATAGGTAGATGAATAGTTGCTGTGTGACAAAAATAAAATAATGAGAGGCCTCGATGTAGATGTTATTGATGATCCAGTCATCTAGCGGAGTATATATGACGACCACAGACTATTCTAGACAGTCCAGTGGAACGCTAGCAGGCTCGCAATCTGTAGGTGTTTATTTGAACTGTGTGCTCACCAGCAGTACTCTATCCCCCACATGGTTGCCTTATTTGACATGAATTGCTGAGGAACCCCCGAAACATGTGTTGTCACCCCGATGAAAGTCCTTAGACTAGGTCCCTTGTGTTAGATGTTTTAGGGACGTAAAGTGAGGATAACGGGAACGGGTAATCGGGTTTGTTTGGTTTGATAAAATTAATAAACTTATTTATTGTGGGTTGAAAACCCTATGTACTCACCAGATTTCCCAACCTGACCCACTGAGTTTATTTATATCACATGTGTTGATATGAAGTCACATTACACTAAGAGATTAAGGAGATATAAATCACTAGTGATAATGAATGTAAGTTCTGTTTATGCTTATGTTTCTGTATTGACGATGACATCCCAAATGTTTTAAAATGAATAAAAATACTTTTCTTCGGAAATGCTTTGATAACGTATTTATCATGTTTTACTGGGAACAAATTCCACAACATTTTTATTAAAAGAGATACTCTGATTTTTATAAAGCATAAACAAAATCGGTCTTTTCTGGCCCTGAAAATGGGGATGTCACAGCACTGGACTGATGAATTAGGGGGACCTGGCTTCGAAACTCGGTTGCCCCAAAAATCCCTCCCTTTTTTAATAAGCACTGAACGAGAAAGAGGCTACTGCTGATCGAGACCAAGGCTGCTGAACGAGCAAGTGGGCCGAACACATGCTGGGCCGAGGTGTTGTTGGGCCGCAAACTGCGAGAAACCCTAGCCGCAAACGCCTATTCGGACTCGGGGCCGTAAACGGGCTTACGGTCGTAAACCCTTCAATGGTCGTGAACACTTCAATGGCCGTAGACCCTTCAATGGTCGTGAACATTGCTTCAGATGACGTGAAAAACAACGTTTTTCACCACTTTTTGCTCCAAAACTCGATTAAAAACTCGTTTTTATGAAAAACGCGAAGAACAAACCCCCCTTAATTTTCAAAGATCTATCCAAAAAGGCAAAAATCCTTCAAAAATAAGATCAAATACGCTCCAGATCTGGAAAAATTGATTGATACAATCCAAGCTCTGATACCACTTGTAAGTCCCCAATCTGCTTGTGTATCAAAAAAATCCGTTTGATGGTGCGGAATCCCAATCAAACGGATGATGCCAGATCTAATGAAGAAGAAGGAGAAGAAGAAGAAGATGAATCTATGATGTATTCAATAAGATTGATGCTCCAACACATAAGATTCTCTCACACACACTCTTATTTTCTCTAACTTTCTCTCTCTACAATATGCTCATCACCCTCTCCTCACCCCTAACACCTATATATATATATATATATATATATATATATATATATATATATATATATATATGTGTGTGTGTGTGTGTGTGTGTGTGGGGAACATGGGCCGTGAACCAGTTCACGGCCGTAAACACAACCGCAAACACATATCATATGACTAAAAAATACATTTTCCTAGAAAAGTAAAGTATAAACCAATATTTTAGACCCAACAATCCCTAAGCAGTATTGTCATCCCGATGATGATCCTTAGGCTAGGTCCCTTAAATTTAGATGTTTTAGAGACAGAAAGCGAGGATAACGGAAATGGGTAATCGGGTTGATTGATGTGATGAGATTAATAAACTTAGTTATTGTGGGTTGAAAACCCTATGTGCTCACCAGGCTCCCAAGTCTGACCCACTCAGTTTCTTGTATTACAGGTAGTGGCACAAGAGCATATATGTGATGATCTGATGAGGGATTATGGATTATAGGCCGGTAGAAATAAATAGAATGTTCTAAGGCCTATGTTGTTTTTGTTTATGCTTTTGGGAACAAATTCCACAACATATTTCTTCAAAAGTATACTCTGATTTTTAAATAAAGCGTAAACAAATCGGTCTTTTTTTGCCGTGAAATTGGGGATGTCACAGTTGGTATCAGAGCATTAGTTTAAGCGAACTAGGAATTTGTAGGATTTCTAAACTTAAACTTAGAATGCTAAGCGATGATTGTGAGATGAGTGTCTGCTATATTTTAGACACGAGCACTAGCTTATTTTAGGAAAGATGCCTAAATTGCTTTTATGTGCTAAATGATTTATGTTATAGATATAAAGATGCCTTATATGCTATTATTTGATCGGATCTATGGTCTATTTCCGACCAGATCTGGAAACTTTATGTGTTCAGAATTCTAAACGTATAATTACGGTATTAGAACTAGCATGTAACTTTTTCGGAGTGACAAGGAGGATTAAACGTCAATCGTAAACAAAGATCTAAATTCGCCTACTTTGGTGTATAGATCGACATGGTGACAACATAAAGCGGAAACGCTAATGGAAATGTTAACCATCGGCATGTGATTGAGCGTGCACCAGAGGTAGCGGCTGCACCCGAGCCAATCACTATGGCAGGAGTACAAGAAATGATTCAAATGATGTTGGATCGCCAGATGGAAGAGACAAGGCATCTACTTCAACAGAATATGGATGAACCTACTATGCCTGTTGAACAGCCTGAACTGAATGAGGGACAGTCAGAAGAAGGAAACGATAGTAGAACCGTTGGCCAAGCTGAACCGCTAGTGGTTGGAAGGAATAACCAATATGGAGGGATTGACAGGGATGGGCGTATGTATAAGAACTTCTTGGGTGCTAAACCACCGAGTCTTTCCGGAAGCCCGAAACCAATAGAGATTATGGACTAGATCTCCGAAATGGAGATGATGTTTGAAAGCTTCAACTGTAGCGACAAACAGAAGACCGTCTTTGCAGTCAGACAACTGAAGACCGGGGTTTTGAGTTGGTGGAAGTTGTTGGCAGATACGATGCGGAGGGTATCAATGTCTTTTGCACAAACGAGCGCGAGTCCCTATTCTACCTTTATTTGTGGGACAAAAAAAAACTGAAATTTATGTCCTATTAGCAAATAACAAAGAAGAGATATGATTACCTCAACCAATCTTCCTTCTTTGTTTTAGCAGTTTCTTCTTTTATATCTTTACCACTGACTAAACCAGTTTTTGGCCTCTCCGATTCCTTGATAGGTTTTCTCGGGTTAGAATGTTTTTTTCTCGGGGGAGAAAGATCTTCATGTGGACAATTATGCCCCCGTCGAGGAGGAGAAATATCAGAATCTCGACTGCGGCCCTTCCGAGGAGGAGAAAGATCATATTCGGTTCCGGTTCCGGTTCCGGTTCTGGTGTATCATTTCGGGCCCTTCGTTTACGGGGTGGGGACATGTCGGAATTCAATTCTGTTATATGTTGGGATTCTGATTCCGGTTCTGGTGTATCATTCTGGGGCCTACGTCTACGTGGCGAAGAGATGTCGGAATTTTTAGCAGTATCAGACACGGGAACCCAACCGCTTCCGTCTTCAGAAATAGCACCAAAAGGGCGCCGCCTTTTAATTTTCTCTAATCTTTTCATTCGTTTCACTTCAATATATTCATCAACTTGTGGCTTCTCTTCATCTGTACATTACAAGGATGATTATAATTGGGTAGCAATGTACATTTCTTTATAAAGCATCTTCCTCTTACATTATTGTACTTTGAAAATCTACCAATTATATTTATAGCAATATCATCTAAAGACAAAGCAATTTGCATTGCTATGAATATAATTGGGTAAATTCATCAAAGTACAATACATTTACAAGAAAGAACTGAAAGTACATGTTATTTCTACCTTTTATTTTAGTACTTTATATTGGGTTAAATGCAAGAACTAACAATATAATTTCATTTGATTTGTTTACTATAGCCTCCTACTTCCATTTCTTCCTGTTACAACATTGTACTTTAAAAAATCTACATATTTAAGCATTATTAAACAAACACAAAGCAATTTTTTTGGGTGGATTTTTTAAACTATAATGTCCTAAGAAGAAAATAAACTGAAAGTCCAATGCTATAATCGAGTTGTTTTTTTTTCAAAATCCAATACCTTAATAAGAAAAGAAGTGAAAGCAGAATGTTGCAATAGAACGAAAATGGAAGCAGGATGCCAAAATACACAAATAAATGAAAGTATATGGTTATTTTTCACATTTGGCCCTTTATATTTTAACAAAGAACATTAACATCAAACGCGAAGCAATCTACTGAACAAGAAATTTTATTGGCATACCTTGTGACTCATCATCTTCTTCTTCAAGTCGAACTGGCTTTTGCCAAACAGGATCCTCATCAACAACAAGAACACCATTCATATCAGGCTTAGTTTTCATCTTCTTTTTCTTTTTCTTCTTCTTTTTCTCCTCCTCCTCATTATTTTCGTATCTTTTTAAATACTTCTTGAGTGAACTGGACCCTAAAGATGGCGCTACCATGGTTGTTCTTCAAGCCCTGCTCCAAAAAAAACATTATGTTTATGTTTTAAGGTTCAATCATATAAAATATGTAATAAAGCTTGTTTCTTTTGTTTTTTTCCATCAAGTGTTGTCAAGAATCAAGATAAATGATGGTTATCTCGAGAAAAGCATTGTATTAACAAAGATTGTTTCTTTTTTGGACCGGATGAACCAACCGTCTGAATGATGGTAAGTGAACATTTTACCCTTATGTCCAGAAGTGATGGTGAACAAAAAATGGTTGTTCATTGGAGAACTGTCATGAACCTAGTGTCCTTGGAGCAAGATCACATACTTTAAAAACCGATACAAAAATCTGTATATTGCTGACTCAGAAAACTTAAACTTAACTGCAAGAGTATATATGAAAGCAATGACAACACTGAGTCATTAAAAGATGCTGAGTGTATCAAATTTCAGCCAAGGGATCTTTGTCTGTAGATGGGAAATTACAAGCTGTCTGTAACGACCCAAAAACTCCTTGTTAACGATGTTAGTCTTCCGTTATAAAGGCTTAAGCCGGATGTGTGTTTTCGCACGGGATTATAATAATAATAATAATAATAATAATAATAATAATAAGGAGGTTAATTTAAATAGTAATTAAATAATTAAAAAATATTTAGTTAGTATTGTGATTTAATTAATAGTTAAAATATATAAAATGTTTTTAAGTGATATCATGATTTAGTTAATAATACTCAAAGTTTTAAAAGAGTGTTTATGTTATATGAAAATGTTAAAGGATTATAAAGAAAAAACAACAATAAAATAAAATCATATTAAATATTATTAGGGTTATTAATGAAATAAGTATCAAAGAAAAGGGACTAAAGTTGAAAATTTTGCAATTGAAAAGGCTATGAACGTATACACTTAAATTACGTGCGTTTCCATCTTTTCCGTCTGTTTCGTGTCGTTTGGGCTGCCGTGGGTTAGACTTAAGGGATACGCGATTGCTTTGTGGAGTTGCTGCATCACATCGGCAATAAGGAGAGAGATCAGAGAGAGAAACCAAGGGCCGGGGCGTGTTCCGGCAAGGGTTACGTTTTCCGCCGGCCTACTCCTGCAAACCAATCACCATCTCGTGTTCTGCTACATCTCCGACGAAAAGGAAACAAGAGAGAGCAGGAATAGAGTTACGTGACAAGATGAAGAGATAGAGAGAGAGAGAGAGAGAGAGAGAGAGAGTTCAGAAGAGAGTTATTTGTGGCTACTATTCTTAAAAGTTTACTGTCGCTTGGATTTTGATTGTAACAAAAAAACCCGAGAGAACGCCAACTGGTAATTTTTATCCTATCGCCTTTCCTTGTGAATTCGACTACATGTGATCTTCCCGTTTTTCTTTATTTTCCTGTTTATAAACCTTGCTGTTGATTTTATTTTTATCCAATCAAATGTATTTCTAAACCCAAATTGCATACAGATCACCTACATGTAATAATCGAAGTGTTTCCATGGTTTTATCTTCCCTTAGCCTTAAGGAATCATGAAATATTGAGGCTACTAATTTAGTGCACCAAGTTCCCTTTACTTTGTTGCCTGCAAGTTTGTAACTTTAATAATCCCTTTCTCTTGATTTACTATGATGCCCCACTCCATCTTTTGCTAGTCACAAGGAAATGATATGTAATTAACGTAGGTGAGTTGTGGCTTCATACGAATCGTACCCAGACATAATACATATGTAGGCTACTAGTGCAGTGGTGCTATGCAATTATGATAAGAATTGAAATGGTTTATACTTGTGATTGATAAGAACTAAATGAATCTGTAAGTCATGGTTATCATTGATTCTTAGTCAACAAGTGAGTTGGAGCCATTCAATTAAAGACCATTTAGACGATATTATACTTATTTCTTTTACTTGTTTCCATCGTGCATTAGGGATTAAAACACAAAACAAGACAAGATTATTAAAAGCACGTTGAACATTAATTATTTAAATATCATAAGTGCTTAACAATTAGGAAATTCTACTTTATGATCTCATAAATGTAGTAAAATTATGAAAAAATGGTTATTAAGGTGTAAACGCTATTAATTTGCTATTGCTTTTTATTATAAGTAGTTGGTTAATTAATATTAGTTATGTAAATCAATAAAATGGAAATATGAGTATATTTACATATACTATATATGTTTAGGTTCTTGACGACATAACAAGATTACGAGGTGACGGCTAGGACAACCAAATATATCGAAAAAGATAAGGTGAGTCGATAGACTTTTCATAAACCTTGTACATAGTCGAAAACTACTTTTCGGAAACGGCTCGATTAGTCAAATTAGAATATTATTAATTTTTGATTATGCCTATATGTGCAGTATGAGATATGTCATTGTTTTGCCTTCTGTGACACTTGCATGCTTAGTAAATTTGGTTGATATGCCTATCTTGGTACTTGATACGATTAATTGCAACTATGATATGCTATATGAAATATTTGATATTTGACTATGACCTTGTTGAGTATCTTCTTGGTATAAATGTTTTGAATCTTGATTATGATAATACAAATATTGCATGCTTGTACTTGATTTACGATCGATTATGCGGGGTTATGCATAGAGGGCAAGGGTAGAACCTAGCACTTAGCATGAAATCCTATTCAGATACCTTCGAGCCTGGTTGGTTAAAAAATACCTTCTAGGAAAAGAGCTTAAGCCAATTAAAGAGTTGCTCGGTCTTTCTAGAGGCCCGTGTGACACATGGTACACGAACACTTCGGTGTTCATGGACTGGAGTGATGTTGGCCATTCGATCGAGGCCGGATCAAGCATCACGTGGGATTCGGGAGGTGTATCGTGAAATTGGCACCGTTTGAACCAATCCTAAACGACATCGCAGGTCCTCGTGTCTTGCAGGGCGGAGTAGCGAAAGTGGAGTCTTGGGGTCGGTGTGACGGGCGGGAGTCGCGGACCACCTAAAGCATTTGGCTGGCCAAGCACACAAGTAGCGAACGGGTTTTTCCCTTGGGGTTAGGTATCATTATGAGACTACCTACACCTATACGATTATGATATATTCCTTTGATATGATGATATACGATTACGATATGATTATGCATGAAATACAATTGACGTCACACAAATGAATGATATGTGAATGGATGATACAAAGTTGAATAATTGAATTTTATGTGAAAGATGATTGATTATTGATTGATATGGGAATTTTGTTTATATGATTTGAATGATTGACCCGTTAGGGGATGGTATGTTTTCCCTTTGATTGTGTACAAACTCCTATTGGCTCACGAAGCATTTGCTGACACTTGTTTCTTTGCTTTGTGCCTTTATGATTGGTACAGGTAGCTTAGAAGCTTGGCTTGGTGAGATGGGGTCATTTTTGGGTAGTTTATCCTTAGAATAAAGATGTCACTTGGAAACGTTATTTAATTTTTGATACTTATGCTTCCGCTACAATTAAATATTTTTTGATATTTTGGTTTTGAATTGAACGTAACGTTGTGGTTTGAAATGTTTTTGAAATAAACAATGTTTTCAGTCTTCCGTTGCATTTTCCGTTAAAAGATTTTAGAATAAATGAAAAAAAAATTGAGCAAAAATCATGACGTTACAAGTTGGTATAAGAGCCATGCTGTGAGTGAACTGAATACAAATGCCAGTGTTCAGACTCACAGTTTGGTTGGCTCAATTAGGACCTTTAGGTACTTAAGGGGGGGAGAGTGTGTGTTGAGCGTTGTAGGATAGCTGCTTATATACTTTCCCTTCCTAATATTTGTATATGCATCTAAAAAAAAGAGAAAACGCTTTATAAATTAGGATAATGTCGAACACTAAGGAGAATGTGAATGCTGGAGGAGCAGGCGGCAGCCAGAACAACCGCACTCCCGGGACACCGCCGTTCATGTTTCAGACCCCACCCATTAACCGGAAGCTACGAGCCCAACTATCGCAGAGCGCACGCAGCACAACGAGTGCCGCCATCATTGCTGATCTTCAGGAGCAGCTCCAAGAGCGGGATAGGACGTTGGAGCAGATGCGACAAGCGATGCATGCCGCCAGACTATTCCCAGTTGATGGTGACAACGAGGGTAGAGATCCATCGTTTGATGACGAGGCACATAGTCGTTCGGTGCCAAGGCAGGAGTTCGTTGGAGCTGTCAGACACCGAGGGAGTTCATTCAAAACCTTCATGGACTGTAAGCCGCCTACTTTTGAGGGAGGCGAGAGTGTTGTGGCGTGCCTTCGTTGGATTAGGAAGATGGACCAAACCTTCCGATCTGGTGAATTTACTGAGGACCAGAAGGTGAACTATGCTGTGCGAATGTTTGACAAGGAAGCACTCGAGTGGTGGGACACTATTGACGCACGACTCACTGAGGCCACTCGGAGGGCAATGACTTGGGCGATTCTTAGTAAGAAGGCGAAAGATCGTTTCTGCAGTAAAGGTAGCATACAACATGCCTAACGAGAGTTTTTGACTCTGCAGAAAGGTAGCATGACAATTGCTAAGTATAACACTACCTTCACTGAGAAGTCACAATTTGCTACTGATTACTGCCCGACCGAGGAGAAGTTGATTCGTCACTATGTCGAGGGGTTGCCATTTGAGTACCGTGCAGTTGTGAGATTGAAGACCACTTTAGTCGAGGCCATGGATGAGGCCCGCAAGATAGAGAATGATATAGCCATTCGGGATCGTACCACAGCAAGGTCCGTGGAAAAGCGCAAGTGGGAGGCTTCATCTGAGTCCTCAAAGAAGAAGGGTCACCTAGATCAAAAGAGTGACAAGCCAGAGTACTGCAAGAAATGTCACTCTTCACATAGAGGTCCATGCAACGGTAGTACCGTGAGCTGTAGACGTTGCGGTAAAATGGGACATCGTCATGAGGATTGTAAGAGTACTGAGCTGATGTGCTACAACTGCAGACAAATGGGTCATATCAGTGCCCAATGTCCAAATCCCAAGGGTGAAATGGGTGCTGGTGGGAAGAAAGATGAAGCACCAA